CACGTCTCAAAATACAATCCGTGGGGCTGTGGTTGCTGTCACAGCTCCTCTAGCTCCAGGCTCTGTGTCAGGCTCACTCCTCTTAGCTGAGCAAATGCTGAGACCTCTCTCTCTATACTTTCCCTGAAACCTTCCCAAACTGTGCCAAGGTTCCCTAAAATCCATGTCTCAGGGCTCACTGGTTGCATTGAGCCCCTGCTCTGGGTGAGCTGCCCCTTTTTGCTGAGGATTCCCCCAAAGCAGGCACGGGCAGTGCCACTGCCTTCAGCATTTTCCAGCTGGGCAGGCGCTTTTGGGAAGGAAGGATCAGGTCTCCTGTCTCCATCCAGCCTAGATCACAGACACGCAGCGAATACTTCGGGGATAAACCAGTAGAGGTCAGTCTGTCCCAGTAAATCCAGTGCGGCTGGACCAGCTCAGCGAGGCCAGGGAGGGACAGAGACCACCCTGTCCCCACAGCGTCCCGGGGGTCCCGTCCTGCCACCTCTCCCTGGGGGTGTCTGTGCTCCTGGGGCTCGCCTGAACCCCCAGGCTGCAGGTGTGAACACTCCTCCACAATTCCCAGCTTCTCCCCTGGAGCTGAAAGGCTGTTTTCCCTAAATGTCTTTTGTTTAAAGAGCACCGCTTTGGGAGGAATTTTTTTAGTGGATTTTTCATGCTTTAATTTATTATTTAATAAAAAAAGCACAAACAAAACTAAAACTGACCAACCAACCGAAAAATAACCCAGGGAGAAACATGATTTTTCTGGAGGAAAAAAAGACCTATTTTTTTAAATGAAAACCAAACTTCTATGTCAGTGTGCACTTTGGCAGAGCTGTGACACCCACAGCTCAGGCTGGTCCCTGTGTGCTCCCACAGGGAGTTACCTGCCATCCTGGACACTCCAGCTCCATTTCCTCTGTCTCCAAAGGAGGTGGTGTCCCTTCTCCATGTCTCCACGAGCCATGCCCTGTTTCTAGCTGTTCTCAGCTCTCAGCAGCAGCCAGGACTTATCCTGCAAAGTACGAACTCTGTGGGAGTGTGAAGAAGTGCTGTCACTTGGGAATGGCCCTGTGAGGTCTGAGCCGCTGGCAGAGAGCACAGCACTCTGGGCTGGTGGGAGGTGTCCCTGCCCTGGGACAGGATGAGCTTTAAGGTCCTTCCGACCCAAACCATTCCCTGATTCTGGTACAGCTGAGTCCTGAGCCGATGGAAGAAATTAAAGTGTTTTCCATGACTTTGAGGCTTCCCTTCCACCTCACCCTTTGCTAAGATGTGGTATCACAGTGACTATTTCCAACATTATTAATTTGCTGGTGGGAGGTGTCCCTGCCCTGGGACAGGATGAGCTTTAAGGTCCTTCCGACCCAAACCATTCCCTGATTCTGGTACAGCTGAGTCCTGAGCCGATGGAAGAAATTAAAGTGTTTTCCATGACTTTGAGGCTTCCCTTCCACCTCACCCTTTGCTAAGATGTGGTATCACAGTGACTATTTCCAACATTATTAATTTTTTTACCTTGTAAAACAGACTTTATTTTTCTTCCTGTAAATTTTGTGCCATATACATCTATGTACCTAGAGAATACACCTCAAGAAAAAGGTTTTCATCCATACATTATATTACTTTTTATTTCATGTCATGAAAAATTCAGACAACAGTTTTGTCCTTAAATAAACATTTCTCCCTCCCCTGCCCTCCCTTCCTAAGCTGACTGGTCTGAAAGAGGAAATTTTATTTAGTTATTTTCTTTTCTTTAAAAAAATAGAAATTACAATCTTACAAGACAGAACATTCGATGAGAACAGAAGCATTTTCCTAAGTCTAAAAAGTAAAACATTTCCAATAGAACCTGTTGGTATCTACAGGTAGGTGTGTGTGGAGGGTGGTAAATGGAAATCAAAGGGGTTTCCATTTCTTCCTTTCATTCATAGAGATAAAAAATAACATAAAACCGACTGAAACTTTATATATTTTTTTCTCTTTTGCACCAACATTCACAAGAATATATATTATATATATTTTGATCCATTTTATACACAGTGTGAGGGTTCTGCAGGTGGAAATGGACACTCAGCTAAACTGCCAGAGCAAACAAACAAACACTAAATTAATCTCGGCCTGGGAAGGAGCCGAGGCCGCCCCACTGCCCAGGCTGATCGGCGGGAGGTGCCAAGGTCCCGTGGCCAGTGGGATGGGAACGTCTCTGCGACGCCAAGGACAGAGCATCTGAGCCAGCTGAGGGTCTCCAGGCTCCTGCAAAGCATCCCCCCTGGCCACACTCAGCCCCAGCACAGAGCAGAGAGGAAATCTCCCTTTTTCAGGCATTTCTGCCCAGGCTTTGTTGTCCTCCCTTTCTCTGTGATGCTCTCGGCACAGCAGAGCCGGAGGGACCTTGGCACAACCTTGGTGAGCCAAAAGGTCATGGAGGCTGTAGCCCTCATGGGTTTGGCATGCCCTTGTCATCCCTTTCCATGCTCATCGCTCGTCCCAGGCCAGAAATCATTGAATCAACATCGAATCACTTATCCCTTCCCAAGAAATCATGGAATCGAGTCAGTTCCGTTAAAGAGAACTTAAAAGTGCAGGTTCCCGCGGTTTGGCAGGTTGAGTTACACATGGTTAATACTTCCAGTCTTCCCTAGATTCCCACAGGGGCTTTTATTGCTCAGAATCCAAAAATCTCTCCCGTGAGGTGGATGCTGTGTCGTTAGCCAGGAAAACGCAGCTCGGGCTGTCTCGAGTTAAGGTGCTTCCATGGGGCTTTGCTGGATGAAATGAGATCGGTGATGTTGACAATTGGTGCATGTTAGCTGAGGAATTCTGAGGATGAAAAGAAGGGTGTGTGCTTTTTTCCCTGTTCCCCAAACATTTCATAACAGCCAGGGCTGTCACCTCTGGGAAAGCAGTGCTGCTGTCCTGCAGACACCGAGGGCGAGAGCCCACGCTGCAAAGCTCATCTTCTCCAGTGCTTCTCCCGGGAGGTGAGCGCTGCTGTCAGAAACAATGCTTCCAAAAAAGGCACAACCCTCTGGACATCAAAGGAAGTACCGACTTCACTTCTGTCCAAGCTTTAGGAGCTGAGAGGGCAGGGAACAAGCAGGGCACATCCCCACCCCGGCGCACGCTGCGCTGGAGAACAACACATTGGCACTCGACATCGCGTGGGGCCGTGGGAGGGTCAGCAGCCTTCACTGGAGATCTGATCCAACGCCATGGGAGAGGGAACCAAGGCTGGAAAGCTTCAATCTGCTCCAAGCAGCAGCTCAGATGTAGTCAGCACACAGCTGTATGCGGCGGCCGCCAGGGAGGAGCACAGTCTGACATTTCCACATTTCCCTCTGCCTTAGACCGAAGCAGAAATCCCATCAGCTTCCTTGTGAGTCTTCCCCCGTCAAGGTTGGTCCATGGTCATCTCTAGGAGGTCTTTTAACCAAAAACATGAATATCCCTAATATCACTTAGAGAGCTACTCATTCAGGCTAAGGGGTGCAGTCATGGAATTGAAGGTTTCTGGTTCGTGCTTGGGGACGATCCAAGCTGCTGGAGGATGGGGCTGGGAGCAGGAGACACCAACACGGAGCAGGAAGGGGCTTGGGATTTTAGCCCTTTTTCAGCAGAAACTGGGGCTGCCTCAGAGCAGGCTTTTCCCTTGTAGTTTTTGGCATTTGCTGCAGGAGGAGCAGGAACAGGGGTGCAAAAACCATCTGCAGAGCCTGGCCATGAGTCCCCCAAGTGTCCCCACTGCTGCAGACTGTCACGGCATCACCCCACAAATTCTTCCCTTTGTCACCTTCTGAGCCTCTCAAGCTCAGAGCAGCAGGTCCTGATCACACTGCATTCCTTCCAACCACCTTTAGTCCTTCCCAGGCAAGGAATGAGGACTTTTCACTTCCCCTTGACCCCAACAGGCAGTTTCTCCCCCTTAAAAGCTTCCAGATCCTGCTAAATAGAGAGCAACCCCCAAAATGACAGAGGAACTCCTTGGGAGGAAAAGCCTGGGTCCAACCCAATCTGCAACAGCAGCCACAGCTGTGCTCCTGGTGCTGCCAGTGTGGGAAGAGGGACCTGGCAGCAGGATTGGCTGTGGGCTGTGCAGGGGAAAAGCCACAAACCCTCCTGTGGGTGCTGAGCCATGGGGCAGTTTTAGTGGGCTTGACAGGAAAACTGCACACAACAGCAGCACCCAGAGAGCCATCACTGCTGCAGGGACAGGGACAGCCCCAGAGCCACTCCAGTGGGCATTTGGGATGTGGAGAGGTGTCATGAGACAGGTGAACCTCCCATATTGGCTCCGAAGAGCCAAGTGGCTGCTCAGCTGGATGGGGAGTTGGCATTTGGGAAAATGCCATGATGGAGGGCACAGAGAGCCTGCAAAGCTTTTCCCTCAACAAGCTGGGCATCCTTTCCCTGAAACCAGCCTCCTCTGTGGAAAAATCCTGTGCTGAACCCCCCCACCCCAGCCGCAGCCAGGTCTTTCGTGGCTTGTTGCGCCCATGGGAGAATGAATAAAGCAGCCTCTGCCTTTGCCCCTCCTCAGCTCCAGCCCCCACCAGCTTGGCTCATCCCATCCAGCCGAGGCAGCATTGCCCCTTCTTTATCCCATGCCTTGTGTTTGGGTAGAAAAAAATAAAATAAAAATAATAATTAAAAAAACACCACAAGTAAAAATCAGAGGTGGAGAGTGCAGCCAGGACAGCAGGAAGGGCTCAGAGCGCGGTGC